ATGGAATATTCTCCCTGTTCAGACACGCTTGATGAGCATCCACTTTGGCTGCCAACAACAGTGCGCCACTGGCACTCTGCTCAGGCGGACTTCAATTACCTCATCCGCATCTATATTTGTGATTGTCAACCTCAACCTCAACATACACACAAACACATTTTACCGCTGATTGACTGGTCGTTTATTCACTCATACTTCACTGTCAGTGCCCATTGATCATCAGAGCAGCAGCAGTACTGCACGCTTTGATCTGCTGAGGCCAGTCGAGCAGTTAATTGGCCTCTTTTTTTTCACTCCTGCTGCTGGGCGCCCACAAAAGCTAGTCAATCAGTGAGTCGGTTCATCAGTTAGGCCATTTGACTAATGCTACTCGCCAATGCGCAGATCTCCAGCTAATTAGCCGTAAAGAAAAGTGGGAAAAATAAAGATGTCTATTTTACAACAGTAGCGTTTGCAAACACCGAACTAACAAACATTTTTTTGGAGAATAACCAACAAACATTGACTTTTTGCTGTGGTTGTAGTAAGCACGGTCTTGTGCCAAGTGCGTTTTGTTGCTTTCCTCTTCCCTTCCTGTTGAGCCCGTAAACTGTTTGTAGTAGTCGAACATCACCACTGCCACCACACACAATACCGGGAATCTACCTGTGTTTAGCAGAGGTTAACAATGCTTTCTGTGNCGTTTTGTTGCTTTCCTCTTCCCTTCCTGTTGAGCCCGTAAACTGTTTGTAGTAGTCGAACATCATCATCACCACACACAATACCGGGAATCTACCTGTGTTTAACAGAGGTTAACAATGCTTTCTGTATTTGTGTGAGTGTGTGTTTGCTCGTTAGTCAGCGACAGCTTTTTCCAATTTTCAACCGGTGGCTGTGATGTTAATTGTTTGCGCTCATTTACGCAATGGCTGTGTTAGGTGGGGAAAGTCATTTGCATTTTTCACCGTTAGCCACCAACTAATCGATTAGTGGTCGATTGGAGACGCAGCGAATTGTGCTTTTCTTTTCAATGAGTTTATTGCTTTAGCCGTTGTGACTGCCCTCCCCCCACCTCAGTTGCAGTCAATCGATTAATTGTTTTGTAATTTCGTTTTCCCCTTCTTTTCTTCTTTTCCGCGGTTTTTTAACACTATTGTTTTTTCTCCTTGCAGTGCTTTCGCAGCCACTTTCAATTGCTTTTTGGGGCTTCTTTTTGGTGGCCCTAAACGGTGTCCTTTGTAGCAGTAGCAGCAGCAGTGACCTGGAGGCGAGTGCTTCCACAAATGATGACATCCTCCACTGGACACCCGACATGCAGGTGGTCATTGGGGATGATAATCAAATTAAAATCGAGCCAATGACAGTGGTTGAGAAGCGACGACTGGAAGAGGCAGTGAGGGCATCGGCAGCTGCCGAAGCCTCTAATTCATCACTACAACCACCTAAATTATCTACTCCATTGCCATTGCCATCACCAACACCACCGCCTGAAGAGATATCTGGAAATCTGCTAAACCACAATTTTGACGGGACTGGCTCGTACAGCGATGATCTCGATGAACTGCAGCATCAAAACTTTGAGTCAAAGCGACTGAACGCTACATCTGCATCTCAAAACACCAATCCAAAGAACACAACAAATCTCACCAAAATCCCTTCCTCTTCTTGGCAGCCAGTGTTCAGCGCTCACCAGTCCTCTCCTGAGCACCGACGAAAGACAGCGGCGTCTTCAGGCTTCATACCACCTAGCTCCAGTAAAATTCCCGACTACGTCGCAGAGCAGCTGCTGGAGAGCAATCGACAGACGGTGCACGCTGATGATGCTACTGATTCCTTATCACATCCTAATCACGTCCTCCACAAGTACAACCATCACACTTACCATCACCCTCCTCTCTACCACAAGCCCACCCTCTCCAAGTCTAATCCGTCGTTGTCGTCCTCTTCCTATCTGGAAGTGCCCATCGGCAGTCGCCTGCACACCGTCCGCTTTCAGAGCATTGACGACGACAAAGGATCGATTGCCGACGGCAGCGATGAGCCCACTTCCTCCTCCTCCTCCAGCGGCAACGGCATAGTGGGCACCTTTAACCAGTACGAGGGCAATCACATCATCGAGCTGCCCAGCTCCAAACCGGTGCTGCCCATCGTCTTCAACTTCCGCACCTCTTCCTCGCCCATTGTCACCACGCAGACGCACTACCAGGGAGGATCACAACCTGCTTCTCCTCTTTCACCTGCTCTATCAGCCCTGACCATGGCCGCACCATCATCGCCCAAGACGGTGCAGTACTTTCGCACGATTGAGCCGCCGCAGATAAAGCCCCCGCAGCAGCACTACACTCGGGTCATTCAAAAGCCGATTGTTCAGAAGCAGTATGGCAAAACCCCGACCACCACCAACAGCAAAGGCATCGGTGGCATCAGCAGCAGCCACTTCAGCCTGCCCTATCACCAAATGTACCACTACCAGGCACAACCCACACCGGCGTACAACTACGGCGGACAGCCGAGATATGTGGAGAAGAGTGTTCTTGCTCCCGTTTACAAACAGCAGCAGCAGCAGCTGCCAGCAAATATCCACTTTCCAAATTTGTACACAATGAGCGACGGGATTGGCGTCGACTACACCGACGACTTCCACAATGGCCCAATAGCTGACCACAGTGGTTTCGGATATTCTCACGATGGGCTTGCCAATGGCGGCGGAGCAAATGGCGGCTACTATCACCACCATCACCACCAGTCACCACCACTAAACGAAGACAGTTTTCCCACTTACGAAGGAGAGGCTAGCTCACCCCGAGGCTATGGCTACTCACAAATGATGCACAAGAATCCGTACATGGACATTGCCTATACCATTCCCTACAGAATAGAGGACCTCTACAAAAAGCCGGTTACCCTTGAGGAACCACAGTACCTGGGCACAAACAAATTCAACAATAGATACCTCTGAGTACTGGACGTACAAGGCCTTCTCTTTCTTATTTCCATTCGGTTTTTGCTGTTGTTCTTTCCTTTTTTTGCCCATTTCATGTGGATATTACATTTGCTTTCATTCAAATAAAGTGCGTTCTTTGCTTAACCAAAATAATTGGAATCAGAACAGAATCTATTGGTTTTATCTTCTTTATGTAAGGATACTTTGAATCTTTTTTTCAAAAACAAATACAAATCAAACGTAGTTAAGACGTGAAAACCAACGTCGTCGGAAACTTGGAAATTATAGTAAATTAATCAGAATCAGAATTGTCTTCGTCTTCACTATCTTCGTTATCACCTTCTTCATCATCATCATCTTTCTCTTTTTTATCCTCCACTTTAACTTGAACTTGCTTGTCCTCCTTCTCCTCATACACTTTGTCGTCCTTCTCACTTTCTTCAGGCAATATTTTCAAAAGTTGTTGCCCCAGCAAATCATCATGTTCCATGTTGATTTTCATCCAGTCATCAGTGAGTATCACCTCTTTCTTTTTGTCTGAGATGAAGCGAGCAATCTCATTCACGTTAGGCGAGTTGAGGAGATGCGCATAGTAGAAGTTTTTAGCAGCATTTTCAACGGTAATATCAGCCAGCAGACTATTGATACAGGCATCATAAAGAGGCTGGATGTTGTACTGCAAATAAAAAGTTACTTAGAATAATAAAAATTGTACAAAAACTGTCGTACCATGTCAGCAGCAACTGCCAACTCGCCAGCAATCATCTTCCAACCATCAAATGGCTTGCAGTAAATGTAGGCAAGCAAAGCCTCCATCACTCGGCCTGATATTTCAAAAATTTCAACCGGTTTCTTTTCTTGATTTTCCAAAAAGTCACCAGAAAACATGGTGGCAAAAACTGGCGATCGCATCTTGAGGATGAATTTATGAGCTGTAAAAAGTTGCTCATCAACCATTGTCTTCAGTGTTACATCAGAAGGGATTGAGTTTGTGACGTTGGCCATTTGCTGGCAAAGCAATTCAGCATGGTTGATTACGGCCAAAGAACAATGAGAATTCCAACCATCAACTGATTCTTTGAAAATGATTTTTACTTTTACATAGAATCCGTCGTGCCACCATTTTTTGCAATGATCACTCCAAACAAGAAATATGTCCTTAAGTTTAATAGGAGTTTCGGTAGTGAGAACTACAAGAATAAAAATGAGTATATAAAATGTTATGGAAAACTCAATACATACCGTCATTTTTAAGAGGTTTAGAATCAACGAGCAAAGAACTAATGTAAATCTTCTTTATAATTGAGCTCTTGTGAAGATGGAGATAGATTTCATCTTTTTGCATTGGATACTCGTAATCATGTTCTTTGTAGTAATCATCATCACAATCGAGCTCATCGTCAGCTCTCTTTAAACTGAGGTAAAAGAGAGCCTTTTTAGATCCAAATGTGGCGCTTTTATCTGGGTAATCTTTTTTATAACTGCAATTCTTCGCCCAGGTGTAGTCAACAGTTGTAGACTCGGCATAACCACAAAAAGCAGACTCCTCAGTACTTGTTTTGGCTTTCTTGGAAGAAGACGGTTGTGGTTCATCGTCCAGTTTTCGTTTTTCGTCCTTTTGGAGCTCCATCTTAGCGAAAAATATTCAAGACAAAGTTAAACGGAAGAGTCAAAGGCGTTGACAAATCAGTTTTGCCAGAGAAGAGCAAAGTGATGCAATGCAAACCAGCGTGGCCAAAGCCAAAGCGTGGCACGCCGAGTTCGCTACCTGGCGGATTTTTCAGTAAAACAAGTCAACTTCAAAACCCGGTTTTCCTAGAAGGACTTTAATGCTGGATTTATATTTTAAAAGTACCACTAAATAAAAATGACCAATCTTTTATTTAAAACTCTAACATGTTGAAACAAGATTTAAACGGCAAACATTTACAAACTAAAGAAACGTGAATGTATTCGTCTTTCCAAAAGTCGTTCGAATGTACGCTGACGTTTCCGAGCTGACCACACGTAGACTGCTTTTGGGCTCTAGTGTAAGCAAATCATTTTTTAATGAGTGTCCTGCCTCAGTAATTCAGTCTTACTTGTACTTACTTTCAAGATTCATTTTAAACTTGGCCAAAAAGCCGCCATTGTAGCTGTCCTTGGTCACTATCATCTGCACCAGAAGCGTACTCGATTCACTGCGAATGGGCGCCGGTTGGTCCTGGAGTTAGAGAAAAAAGAGAGAATAGTGTAAGTAAATGCGGCAAAATGTCACACGGACAGTACACGCTTACAAAGGCACACAGTGTGACGCGTTGCTTCTCCTCGAGCGGCTCGTCTGCGTCGTAGACGATCACCCGGTTCTGGCCACAACCAGGCGCCAGCTGAAGGAAGGTGAAGGTGAGCGTCAGCGTGTGGTAGCCATTGCTGTGAATCAGCCAGCTGCACACCCGGTCCTCGCCCTCCAGTCGCACCTGCGGATAGAGCGGACTGCTGAAGACGCCGCTCTGTCCGGTCAGATTGCCGCCACAGCCCGGGGCAGCTCCACTGGCCGAGGCGCCTCGCGGTGAGGCGTAGTAGTTGAAGGCGTAGAGAAAGGGCATGTTTCGGTAGCGAATCTGATTGTCCAGGGTGGAGGGCATGGCAGAGGCGCGAATGACCACGGAGAGGCTGCTGCCGGTGCTGAACACCGGGTAGGGCGGCTGCTGGGAGTTGCAGAAGGTGGCCTTAGCCTTGGTTTGGCTGCTTGAGGAGTTGCCGCCACCCTCGTAGATAGATATGTTGCGGTAGTGGCACAGGCCAAAGCTGAAGGCAGAAAAGTGCAACGCAATCTGCCGGTCTGCCGGCACTGAGATGTTGATGATGCAGAGGTAGTCGTGGTTGAAGCGCTCCGCTCTCGGGTAGTACTTGTTGAAGGCGTAGCCGTTATCGGCGCCGCTCAGCGTCTCATTGCACAGCGAGCTGTGGTAGGTGAGGCGAAAGCCCTTGTAGAGCGCCTTCCTGCTGACAGTCGCCACCGAGGTGTCATAGGCGACCGTACTGTGCACCTCCGTGAAGCTCTGCATCACCAGCCGCAGCGGTCGATAGGAGACGATCTTCACCTGACTGGGCGACCTGCAGAGGGTGAGTGGCCGTAAGGGAGAGGAGGAGCTGTCATCACCCACGCCTGACGTCTCCATCAGCTGCAGAGAGTCGCCTCGACTGCAGTTCAGGTCCAGCTCGAGGAAGGTGAGCACCGTGGGCTGCATGCCCGCTCGGGCGAAGCTCCAGGTGCACGTCTGCGGACTGCTCTCCGTGTACGGGTTCGGGTAGTTCGGTGAGCTGATCTCCTGTCGGCCCTCCTTCGCCACCAGGTGTCTGCTGCCGCAGCTCTGGTTGAAGGCGACGTAGCGGGCACGAAAGCCGTGTCCGGTGGCGTTGTCGCCATTGGAGACAAAGTGCAGCAGCATCGACTCCCCGGTGGACTGCAGCTGCTCGGGCAACCGTTCTCGTCCGCAGAGTCGGGCTAGCGGCGGCGCCCGCATCGTCGTTCCGTCGAACACCTCCAAATAGTCGCCGTCGCTGCAGTCATTGCTGCTGGTGCTGCTGCTGCTATTTCCGCTGCCCGGGTCCACGTCAAAGCGCTCAAACTGCAGCTGAACGACGCTGTCCAGTGAGTCGGCGGCAATGGCCCAGACGCAGCTCAAGTCGGGCTCGTAGTTGGAGTCGCCGTCAGTGTCCGGCGAGCTGACCACCTGCGCCCCTCCTCCTCCTTCCCCGGCGGCAGCACTCACCCGCCCACCGCAGCCTGCCTTTGGCCCGGGCGTCGAGTAGTACTCCAGTTTAAAGCGAATGTAGCTGGGCTCCTCGTTTCGACTGCGCCCGTAGTACGGTCGGTAGGTGCTGTACACCACACTGATGCTGTTGTTGGTCGATTTGAAGGTCAGCTCAGTGGCGTCCGCAGAGGCGTTCGTGCAGATGTGCGCCAGCAGGTTTTGGTAAGCGGACTTTCGATCGTAGACGCCGTTGAAAATTTTTAGCGATGACTCGCAGTACAAATGTGAGATGACGTTCAGCTCGAGTATGCGAATGGCCACCGAGTTGCCCGCCTCGGGAACGGTGATCACCCACTTGCAGGTCAGACTAGAGCGGTCTTCGTTTAGCTCCGGTGAGACGATGATTCCCCGGCTGCTGTCGGTAATGTTGCCCCCACACTGCGACACCGAGTAGTGAAAGCGAAATCCACGCTTCGTGACGGAGTAGTCCGTTTCAAAGACAACCGACACCTTTTCATGTGCGGTGATCTTCGGCGGCAGTACATCGCCACAGTAGGGCCCATAGGTGAGCGCGCTTTTGTTGGTGCTTTCGCCCAAAACTATGGTCACCCTGTCGTAGTTGCACTGTCCCACGGGAGAGCCCTCCAGTAAAAAGTCTTCAAAACGGAGACGAATGTACTCGTGCGGTGAGCGCTGAACTTTGAAGACGCACTTCAGCTGGCTGCCATAAAATCCCTCACTGTAGTGCGGAGAGCTGATCGTACCAGACGCCTCCTCGAACAGTCCTGCCAAGTAAAAAAAAGAGATAAAATGAGCATTCATCTTCAGAACAGCATTCCCAGAATTACCCCCGCAAACTTGGGTGTAGTCCACAAAGAAGCCGTCAGCAGTGACTGCCTCATTAGTGCGGAATGTGACTCGAACAGTGTCGGTGGAGGAGACGACCATTGCCGGAGTGTGAGGACCACAAACTTGACTTAGCAAACGCCACCTTTCCACTTCACTATCGTCCACAAAGTCGATGTGTCGCTCTTCGAAGCGTAGAAAATCATTTGAGCAGTTGGTCGAGTCCTCGAGGTCAAATCGCGAGCTAAAGTTAAACTGCAGATGAAAGTCGGGCACTGCTTTGATCTGCCACACGCATTCAATTGAGTTCGGGTATGATTTGCCTTTGACATTGCCCAAAGCTGACTGGTCGTTCGGTTTGACGTAGTTAGGCGAGCTAAAACTGCCTGATGGGCTAAGCAGCATGCCGCCACAACCTTCAGTAGCCCGCTCAAGTCTAAACTTGAATTTTCTGGAAACTGAAGGAGGACTCGTTGAGGAAGTCGAAGTAAGTGACAAGTTTCGACTGCTGACAAAAGTTAAATAAATACTGTGGCCAACAACAATGGGTTGTGGAGGGCCGTCTTGGCGGCAAATCTTCTCCTTTACTGGCGGCTCAAATCGGGGTTTAGTTATCTGTGGAGTAAAACAACTTGAACATTACTGCTTTTTATTTCCATGATCAAACATACCAAAAAGTAGTCTTCCTCACAGCTGTTTCCAATGTCAAATTCAGTAAAGACTAAGCGGTAGCCGTTGGCGTTGGAACCGTCACTGGAAAGCTGAAGGAAGTAATTGCAGAAAACATCTGTCCCATAGTCAGCCGGGTAGTTTGGTGAGGTAAACTCCTGTTCAAAAGCATTAACAAAATGCCCACCACAGTTCTGCAAGTACCACTCTCCCTTTAAGCCTCTCCACTGGCCAACTTCGGTGCGATTGAATGAGAACAGTACTGTGGGAGGACCAACTGCGGTACGACGCCAAAAGACGGGTAGTACGTACTTGGTGCCCTTTGTCTGCGGTGCCACCTCCTTTCGAATGCACGTATTAACGCGGCTATTGACGTTAAAGTGCTTTGTCTTTAAAACGGGAACGATGCTCAGCGTTTGGTTGGCGCAGTCACTCGGCACGTCAAAGTCGCTCAAGACTAGTGTAAAGGACTGGTTCACATGTAGAGAGCTGAACACCCAGGCGCAGGAGATGATCCCCGTGTAGTTGAGATTGTTATAGTTGGAGGAGATTAGCTGCCCTCGAGGAGAGTCGAGTAAGGCGCTGCACGACTCTGGAAAAAAAGCAAAATAATGACGTCAGTATAATGGAACTCAGACATTGCCAAAAACGCCTACCATTGTCGTAGATCATTTTGTACGATAGGGAAAATCCTTCACGAGGCGCAAGCTCTTTTGCCTCAAAGGTAATGGACACCAAGTGGTTTGGTGTAATAATATCCGCCGGCATCTCCGAAGAGCAGCCCAATTTTATCATACTGTGCTGTTGGTTGTAAATGTTGAGAAGAATATTAAGAGTCTTGGGGCACCTGAAATCACTGAGATTGAAGGGGGTTTGGCCCAAACTGAAACGTTCAAAGTGAAGTTTGAATCGGGTCCCCGGCTCACCAAAAAGTCTAAAAACTTTGTAGAATTCTTCAGAAATACTTGTGGTGGCGTAGAAGCGAATTGTCCCTCGAGGGCGCACAGTTCCGTCGATTACCTTAACATTATCAAGATAACTGGCGGCCACTGAGAATGTGATGCCCACCTTCGGACGGTTCGCCGCCTCGTTGGCATTTCCTTGAAAGTTGCTGCGTTTGAAGGCAATGAACAGTTCATTTTTAGTCGAGACTATGCTGTAGTTGATGGCCGATCTGTTCCTCGGGCCACAGTACCGCCGAATGGTGTAGGTCTCGTAGGGCGAGTTGTGAAGTGTGATCATGTCCCCGACTGAGCAGTTGCTGCCCTGCAGGTACATCGACGTAATGTTCACTGTGATGCGGTGACTTGGAAAGGTCCTCAGGTGCAGTGAACACTCATTGCCGTCTGCTGCCGACGCCACTGCCGATGAGGCATCGGTCTTGTTGAAAGGCAGCAACTTCATCTGCCCCTCCCGATTGCTGACAAAGACTTCGCGGAAGCAGCTGAGCGGTCGAATGGTGGCGTTGAATCGGGCCGCCAGACTCTGTCCACTCTTTGGCCGAACTACGTAGCGCAGCAAAGCAATGTGACTGTTCACCTGCGCCCCCGTGGTCACTCCCGGCGGCACGCAGTATGTGGCAGAGAGGGGCGACATGTCAGTGCCTCCCTCATAGATCTTAAGGTGAGCTGCCGTCTTATCGCAGGGTGCCCAACTTTCCGTGGCGAAGGACACCTGCAGACCGGCGTTCACCGGACCGCGGACTATAAAGTCACACATCACTTCATGATGAACTGATTTGGTGGCGGGGTATCCGGGCGAGGTGACGGAGATGACGTCCCTCAGCGAGTGCAGCACCAGCTCGCCGCCGCACTCCAGGCCCACTTCACGGTAGCGCAGGCGAAATTTCTGCAAAAGAAGGCAGTCAGTCAGTAAAGTTGGTTAACGTTGTGCACGAGAAAAAGCCTCAATTGCTCCTACTCACATCTTTATCGGTGGCTGCCTTGAAGACAAGGTAGGCCAGATTGCCTGCAGTCATCGGCAGCGTCACTGAACTGGTGTTCACTCCACACATCGGCGGCACCAGCAACGGTGAGCTCTCTGACTGACCGTTGAAAATTCGCAGCGACTCCTTGGAGGCGGTGTGACAGTACCCGATGGAGTAGTAATCCACGGTGAACTGAATCGTCCGTCCGGGGCGCACCTTGACCAGCCACCGACAGGTACTGCCTCGCAGGACACCCGACCAGCCGGTCACCTCCTCAGAGTTGATCGTGTCAGAGCTGCTGGTGAAGTTTCCGCCGCACACCGGCACCAGCGTCAGGTTGAAGTGAATGGAAGGGCTCTGCGAGGACGATAGGGCAATGGGCGAAGTGTAGAGCAGCAGATTGCTGAAGTCCAGGTGAATGCGCAGCAGATTGCTTGCGGAGAGCTCCACCGGGCGGAAGGTGGCACCGGCGCAGATGTTTCTGACAAAGGCAAACTTGGCGCCCGTCCAGGCGTACACGCGAAAGCGAGTCTGCCAGCAGTCAGTGGTGGGAAAGCGCACCCCTGTCCAGGAGAGGTTAAAGTGCGCCCAACTGTGCGTCCGCACGTACCAGTTGATTCCGCCACCGCCGCCGCTGCTGCTGCTGCCCATCTCGCCGAGGAACTGGCTGTAGTTGCCGTCCACCAGACTGACCGCCTCGCCCATCTCCCCTGCAAAGAGGTTGAAGGTGGAGTTGACGCCGCCGGGGACGCCCTCTCGGTGCTCGTCAAACTGCGCCAGTTCGGTTCGGTTGATGGACTCCCACTTGAGGCTGTACTTCACCAGGACGTTGCTCTCCGGTGGGCCGCTGAAGACCACGGTGACGGCGTTGCCCTCAGAGGCGAACGGCGCCGGAAGCACTGACGCGCAGAGGCGGACCTTGGGCTGGGGCAGGCTTTGCTGCTCCAGTGAGCTGGCGTCGAGTCTTGACGTGTCAAGTATGCCCTCATAGAAGAGCAGCTTCACCGGGCAGTTGTAGTGCAGGTAGCCGTCGTCTAGGTTGAGCTCCTTCACGGTGAACTTTATGAACTGATTCTGCTCAACGACAATCGAGTATGTGAAGCTTCGATTGACGGCGTGGAAATCTTTTGGAAAGCCTATGAAAGCAAAAAGTGTTTAGTGTATGCTTCATTGTAAGTATTTCATCAACTACGTACCTGGCGATGCAATTTGGCCACTCTCCCCGCTGAGCATTACATTTGTGGCCAGTTTAAAGTGCAGCAGAAAACCTTTGGCTACTGTTCTGTCGTCAGTTTTAAATTTAATCCACGTGTCACCGGGAATGGTCGACGCAAGACTGGGCAGGTTGTCCTTGCCAACGCCACAAAGACGTCGACCACCGAGCAGCGGCCCACTGGAGCTACCCTGACGAATCTCTAGGTAATCGCCATTACAAAAATCGTTCTCCTCCAGTTCAAAGTCTTCAAATTCTAGCAGGTATCTATTTGAAAAGCTAGCCTCCAGTCGCCAAATGCACTCAATTGAAAGGGGATACGAGTTCGGATAGCCCTACGTTATTAGATTGTGATTAATGAAAAAATTTCAAACAAAAGTAATGTCCTCACTCACCGGACTGGCAATGAATCCCTCTAGAGCGGTCAAGTCGGCGCCACAAAACGACTGCACCGATGAGACCACGGCGCGGAAGATGGCAAAGTACGACACCAGAAGAAGGGAGTTGCCCTTGGATACTACTGGCAGGGGAATGTCATTGTCACAGAAGTGTCGAAGTCGCTTCTCAGGCAGTTCAACTGCTCCTTCATAGAGATTAATGTAACTCGACAAGCAGAAATTGCCCACCTTCACATGATAGTTGTAACCGTACAATTGAACGTGCGTCAGCTGAATGGAGACAATGGCCGACGGGTTGGCCGATTTCAGCACAAAACGACAGGGCTCAGTGTCCCTGGGCTTGTGCGGATAGTTCGGCGAGGTGATCGTCTGATAGCCCTCACTTGCCTCTTCCTCCGAGAGTGTTATTGTACGGCCACATACACTTTTGTAGGTTATGTTGAAGCCTCTTCCAGTACTTCCCTCGCTGTCCGCCTTAAAGCGCAGAAAGAGTGCGCTGTTTGTACTGTTGAGGACGTAATTGACTGGCGGCTTTCGGTTGCAAAACTTGCCCAGTAGTTTTCCCTCCTGTTGAGAGGACGAATCGTAGACGGCGAGAAATCCGCTGGAGCAGTCGGCCAATCGACTGGGAATGTTCAGGTCATTAATGGTCAGCTGAATGTCACTGTGACTTCCCGTTTGGATGAGGTACGTGCAGTCGGCGTGGCGGTCGTAGGTGCCGCCCCTTCCGTAGGAAGGCGACACCAGAGTTCCCTCTTCGGCGGTGTACTTTCCTCCACAACCGGGATTGAGCGTGGTGAAGGAGGCTTTGAATCCTTTGCCTGAAGTGAAAATTCAAAAAGGGTTAGAGTTTGTAATGAGTGTAGAAAAGTATCTCTTACGTGAAGTACTGCCGTCTGCAACAAACTTGACCACCATGTGATTGCCAATTGAGGAGACGTGCGTGCCAGAGGACTGGCTGCACAAGCGAGTCAGCTCAGTTGAATTGAGGTCCGCCCCGCCCAGCACTGACAGGTAGTCATATCGACAAGGGCCATAGGTCTGCTCCAGTTCAAGGTTCTCCACTAGCAGGTCTACGCTGTGACCTTCAGGTGCCTGGATGAACCTGGGAAAACACAAACGTAAATGAATTTGAGTAATATTCAAACGAAAATTCTGCAACAAATTGTCAGTACCAAATGCACTCCGTTGAATACGGATATGAACTAGGGTAGTTGGGCGAGGTGATGACGGTCTTCTGGCGGCGACCACCGAGGAAACTGCCACCGCAGCCCACTGCGCCCCATTCCAGCCGCCAGCTGCCAACTGAAATGCTCTGATCAGAGCGAAAAGCAATTAGAATTTCATTGCTCGTAAACTGCAAAGGAGTGGGCGGGTTGTCGGAAAAGTTGCCACAGAAGATGCGACTGCCGTTGATCGTTGAGTGGTAGTGCGGCGAGGCGGTCAGATCAACCTGGTCCAGTGACAGCTGCTGGTACCGATTGACCTGACTAATGTTCAC